TTGTATTTCATTCAGTGCCTAATGGATAATACTCAATACTTATTGAATGTTGATCAACCAATGAACAAATATGTACAAAACATACATTTTTATACACACCCTGGAACATATGCAAACAAACACTCCCCTAGCTACCTTTGCATAAAAGTGTCACCAGGGCATTGGGGATTTTTCAAAGTCTGGCAAAATTCATAATTATAATCAGGGCTGATTTTTTTTAATGCATTGTATATTAACTCATTTAATTCCCACAACAGCCCTTTATGATGTAAGGTTATTAAAATTTCCATTTTAAAAGTAGAAATGGAGGCATATACATGTTAAGTACCTTATTGAAGTAGTTAAGGTTTATACAGCTATTGTCATTTCTGGGATATAAACCTAGGCAGTCAGGCTCCACAGTCCATACCCCTCATCACCACATCATGAAAATAAAACAAACAAACAAACAAAACCAGAATCTCTATGTGACTTTGTCAAGCTGTTTTAACTTAATCTGCTTTACCTCTGCAAAATGAGGATCAAACCCACTGTAAAGCCTACTCTGCGGAATCCTCTATCTAGTTCATACTTGGGCATCCTTGGATTTAATTATTTTCTTGTGCAACGCCACAGGTTTATGTCATGAAGCAATGTGTCATTTTTCTGGGACACAAACATAAATGAAAAAGTTGTACAAAGCTTGTCCACCAGAATAAGACACTCGGCTTGTATGGGGAGGGGGACCTATGAAGGACCAACACCTGTTTGGACACATAGCTTTATTTCCTCTTCTTCATGCACATAAGAATTTCAGAAAAATGATATGTTATGGTGATATTCTCAAATCTGAGACTTGCAAAGGTTTTTATTGGGTTGTCAGAAAATTCATGATGCATTTTTGCAACGAAAAACATAGAAAAAAATACATCATGATTTTTCCGACAACCCAATAGATGTCTTCCTAGAAAAGTGTGAAGGACCTATATCATGTTTCTGGCTGACATTCTCTAATGTGGGCACCTGAATTATACATCTTTGCATAATAAAGAAAAAACAGAGACTGTGTACATTTAAACATCAGCTTTCTTTATTTAAAGGAAGATAATACATAGCATTATTTATGAAGAGAAAAAAATCACACAACTAGTTTAAGAGGTAAGTCACTATGGTAACCATTTCTCTGCTTGAATTTAGAGAGGCAGTGCCTTCTGCTAGTGGAAGGTTCTCTCAGCTTTTAGCAGTAGCTATTATATGCTATTTTATATTGGGCCTTTTTTTTTTGTCTTATACTAAATGAGGCTGCATCACCTTACTTAATGAAAAATCCTTTATCATTCTATAGAATAACTCATATTGCATATTTAATTATTAAGGGGAAATTTGTTGGTTGGAGTATCCTCAAAGACAAAAATATTGATAAACTATCTCATACAAAATGTTAACGGAGGGTCATACGTATCTTGACACAATGAAGTGACTTATAGTCAATGATTTCAAATCTCTGTAAATTTTGTTTTTTTCCAGAAAACGATTCCCTAGATTAATAAAGTAATATGTATAACTCTCTATTTTGCACCAAGAGACCTTTACTTGCATTATTTTCTTATACATTGTTGGGAGAACTCCTTCCTGCTCTCCCATACAGTTATGCCTGTGTTATCATAAAAAGTTTTTTCAAATCAGTGGCAAATATTTTCCAGATTTCCTACAAACAGGAAAGACCATAAATTTTATTCTACTTTAATAATACTTCCCAAACCCCTCTTAGCCCCTTTCATGCTTGCTGCACTGAATCAGAGAACTGCGATTTCAGAACAATAATAATTGCAATGATAGTAACTATCATGCATTAAGCACCAGGCCCTGTTCTAAGACTTCATGTGGGCACTAGATTTACAAATTTAGCACAACCAAGGAAAGCCAGAGACATGTACATTTAAAGAGCTCAGATTTGTTTATAAAAAGGCAGATAATATTTAGCATTGATTATAATCTCTTTTAATCCTCACAACAACCCTAGAGCTTGCTAAGGGACCACGGATTTTGTACAGCTCAACTTCTATGTCCTATAAATCTTCCCTGAATCCATTGTACAGTTTAAGAAATTCAGTTGTTGTTTTTTTTCTTTGGTGACATAGTTTATGAAATGAAATAAGCGATTCATTGAATGTGAATATATTAATAAAAGCTCAGGAACAATGGCTCATACTGGATAAGAGAGAAAATTGGCTGGTGAAACATGTAATAAATATTCAACACTCTAAATCACGAGTACACAAGACACTAGTATTTCCTATAATAATACTTTAAAGCACCACACTTTTTTTTGTTTTTTGCAATATCCCTGCTATTATGAATGTACACTTGATGTAAGCAGTGATATTATTAATATTATATTTATACATAAAGGGGCCTGGAACTTAAATATTTGCATATACATCAGATGAACATATTGTTATCATTTGTTACTGCTATTTCTTTTTTGTAAGATGGTGGATGAGTAAATCACAGTAAGAAACAAGCAAGCATGCTTATGGTTTTAGTACTAGTGCATGAAAGAGAATCAAATTATTTAATCAATTAGATTTTCTCTTGATATGCAACTATTATTTCCAAGTTAAGCACCTTCATAAACTATTTTTAAAGTGTCAACTATAGAAGATATAATAAAATAGCAATAAAATGTGCTTCATCACTGCACCTGATAAACACCTGACGTATACCAATGTGATGAACTTTCAGGTATAAATAATTAACTGTGTCCACAACATTAAAAAAATCTAATAGATTAAATGTGTCATCTAATGACAACTCTATGGTGGCAATTAGTTTTCCCTAATGCTGTTCTACGTTTCTTTTTTAAAACATCAACTGTTTATTTAACACTTCAGAGATGCAAACTGATGGTAATAGAATGGATTTTTACTCCCCACTAATTATTCCAGGTATGTGTTCTACATCAGTCTTATGCCCTGTAATTCCTGAGAGCAAGGCCCATTCAGCCAAATAAAAAGATATTATTTGAAGTCTTTTGTAACATAGGTAATTTATTTTTTGCAGTAAAATCCCAAAGGGCTTTGCAAAATTTCAGTTAGGCGTGCTGAGAGCAACTGCTACAAACACTTTCTAAAGGTCTAATCATCTTTCTGGCCCTTTGGGAGTACTTAATTTATGAGTTATGCCGAAATACCCTAAGGAAATTTAAATGGGCAATTTCTTTATGTCACTAATGTAGGTTCAGACCACTCATTAATCCTAAATTATTAATCCTAATAACTCTCCTTGGAGGCTGGTAGGAGGCAGCCTCATTAATATTGCCCCTCAGATAAGGAAAGGAGGCTCCGTGGCCTGTACACACCCAACCCACCTTCCTTCCCACTGCCAGATAGCTGGCCTCTGAGTCCTGACAAGGGACACAAATCCATTGGCTCTGAGCACACTTAGCCACTAGAACTGCTTTGTAATCGGCTTACATGGGCTTGTTTATTTTCCACTTTTCAATTATTGAAATAGAAGTGGAAATCTGCTTTCAAAGACCAACCTTTCAGCATCTCCTTCCTGGGCTCCCCTGACCTTCAGGCAGTACAGCTGTCTGAGTGGAGTTAAACATGGACGGTCACGCTGGCTTTCATTCCTGCTGCTTTGCCTCAGAATGTGCCCCCACTGATGTGTTTATCACGCCCTCCTTACCCGTTCTGTGGTTTTTCTTGCTGAGTTTTTAGCCTGGACAGCTGAACTTGCCTTTCAAGGCCTTAACCTGCAGATCCTCGTATGAGTAACCAAGTAATCCTAGAGGACCGGGAGCCAACACTACAACCTCCCACTGTTCTAAATCTTCTCCCTCCGGGCATCTATGCCCTTCCCTTTCCCAGACCCACCACTGTCATGAGGAATGGCCACTCTGAACTGATCATCTACTTGGCACACCAAAGAGAGAAAGGGACGGCTTAGAAACTTTGTAAGAAAACATAAGTTTAGCTTCTTGCTTATGGGTTGTGCAAGCATGTTGACTCTTTCCTCGGCTAGCCTGTCCTCTGTGCGCTCTTGTTCAGGACTAAGCATGAAACCTCACAAGGATTATCCCCAACAGGTTATAAAACTCTGTATCTTCACTGCCCCAAGCCCCTTCTAGACCGCCCAAGCACAAGTTCCTTCCCCAGACAGGGCTCGCCAGGAACTTCTGCCTCCGGGAATGACAATTGCTCCCAGTGATCCGGCGGGTGAGGCGGCAGCTGAGATCCCACTAATGGTTTTGTTTAGTTTCTTGGCAAACTCCCCTTCATTCAAGCTCCAGGCGCTCCGGAGCCAGGTCTAATTAGAAGAGTACCAGGCTCACCCTTCTCGCGGAGAAAGCGCATTAGTCATAGATGAAACAGCAAGAAAGGGTGCCAGGAGCCCTGGAGTGCAGTGGATGATGAAGACCTTTCCCAAAATGCTGGGGGAGCCTTCGATGTAGGAAAAGGAAAGCTAGATCTCACCGCGTTCAGGAGAGGACATTGAAACCCTGGGACACAGAGTAGAGTTGATTTGGTTAGAAGCCAGAACTAGGTGCATCAATAATGCTCATTGAACATCGAAACAGAGTTAAGCAAAGTGTTCAGTATGACAAAGCAACGTCTCAAGTCATGGTAAGAGACAAAGGGCGGAAAGCTTCCCGCTGCCCGGGGCAGAACCTCTGCAAAGGCACCAGCAGAGCGAGCGCGCGGGCGCGCTGGGGGAGGGGTTGCATCAAAGCATCCAGGTTGGTGGTGAAGGGGAGTGGTCAGTTTGGGGCCTGCCTTGCACACGGAACTGTGGTCACGGTAACCCTTGGCCCACCCTGAAAAGCGCAGGTATGAACAGGACTGCAAGCTTGTCCTCAACACCCAGCAGCAGCTAGCTTCAGGAGGCTGGAAGTGTCGGGGTTGAAATGCGACCCGACCCGGGGAGGGGCGGGGCCCCGCAGGGCCAGGGCGGGCGGTGCAGGTGGGCGGGCCGGGTGAGTAGGCTGGGCCTATAAAGTGCTCGCTGCCCCAGAGGCGATGCAGCTCAGTGGGGCCGGTGCAGGTTGGGCTGGGTGGAGAAGGGTGCGGATCACTGCTGGGGTCTGCAGGTCCCTGAGCCTCCGACAAGAAGGGGCTTCAAAGGCGAGTTTCTTCCTCGGTTTATCCCGCCCCTTTGCCAGCAAGCGCGTCCGCCCCAGCGAACTCGCCGCAGGTGAGCTAGACTGCGGCCTGGATGAGGGCGGTAGAGGCGGGGGGAGGAGGGCGGCCTCGCCAGGGCTGCGGGGGTGAGCTCCGCGTGGCAAGTGGGCTCCAAGTTTTGCTAACTTGGAATGAGTTTCAAGTTGCGGCTTTAGTTGACGTCTCCGCTCCCGAGGCTTTGTAAACTTGAGCTGCATGGGCGGGTTCCTTCTCTTTGGAAAAGGAGTGCCTCAGCTAGTTCGCTCTGGGGACTCGGGGCAGTTTAGGAGCCTCTGCACGTCTTGTCTGCTCTTCCAAATCTGTCCTTGTTCCCTATTTTTTCCAGCGCCCCGGAAAGGCCGTTCCGCCCCACGAGGGAAACGGAGCCGTTGACCATGGTTGCAACCGGCAGTTTGAGCAGTAAGAACCCTGACAGCGCTTCGGAGTTGCTGGACCACGGTTTCCACCCGGAGAGCCTGCTAAATGGTGAGTTTCCCAGCTGCCGGCCTCTCTCCTTTCCAAAGGTTGAGCCCCTCGATAGATGGGATCGGACTGGCGGCCGTGCGGTGTCGCCCTTTTCTTCAATGGAGGTGCAACAAAATCCATCTGAGGAAACTCATTTCCAAGCTTTCTAGTAACTTCTGTCCATGATAGTGAGAAACAAAAGTAGCAAAAAAATAAAATGCCGAGGGCTAAATCAGTCTAGCCTGCTGCTAATAGGCTCTTTGGGATGAAAAGTTATATAGGTTCCTTACCATACATGGCTGTGAAGTTTTGGTAAATTTTAAGTGTGCAGTTATGTGTGTTTTAACTACTGTAATCACCCTTGTAACCATTACTGTGACCCTCTCCCCCCAAATTTCCATGTACCCATTTGCCATCAATTCCCCAACTCTCCCTCTCCTGGTTTACTTTTGCCTCTAGTTTCATGTAAATGGAATCATATAATGTGTACTCTTTTGTGTCTGGATTCTTACCTGCCACCTAATCATTTCGAGACCCTTCCACGATGTGGCTTATATCAGATGTATGTGTTCCTTTTTTTTGCCGAGTAGTATTCTATTTGTGGATCTACCCATTATTCCATTTTTAATGCCAGAAGGAAACTTTAAAACAGCAATAATGCTGGAAATGCTGTCATTTGCAATTTTAAACAGCACTTTCTAAGTTAACACACTGCTCTGCCACCAAGGAGCTGTGTGGGCACAGACAAGTCGCGTAAGATCTTTGGGCCTTCTTCATTTAGAAGGCAGAGTGGTTGATGATCTAATTTTATAGGCCAAAGCTCTAAACTTCTTCATCTTCAACATAGATAAAATATGGAACCTTATAATTTGGAGTGCATTTGTCTCGTTTAGTTATTTTAAAAAATGACCTCACTGAATACATGATGTGGAGAGAGGAAACCACAGCAGCCTATGAGGGTGAAGTAGGCTTAAGGAAGGGAGCCCTCAGGGTGTCTGCCTGCACCCTGCTCAGCTGACTCTGTGTGTGGCATCTTGCCAACTGGTAGGATTAATTTGGAAGGTAGGTGACCAAATGCAGAGCTATCTCTTTTCCTTTGCGCAAATCTAATTTTGTTTTCCTAGGATTATTTTGTTTTGCTTGGCTATGGAAAACTACCCAGCCAGTTAAAAATATCCTCCTGGACCTCAAAGGTCTTCTTTGAGCAATTTTTAATCAGAGGTTGAAGCTAAAATTGGAATCTACAGGCCATTTCAGTAAAGACTTTGAAAGAAACAAATTTGATATTTAATATAACTCCTCAGCTTAATCTTAAATTCAAGTAAGAACAATAGCAAAAATTTGGTATTTTACAATAATAAATTCATATAGTCTTAGAGTTAGACGGTAACAGTCCCTTAGTCAAAAAAAAAAAAAAGTATAACTTTTTATTCCAGAGGTAATGCATATTCTCTGTAAGACAAATAGAAAACCCTCATAAGCAAATAAGGGAACAAGAAAAAAAAACTCAGTAGTAATCTGATTTTTTGATGCATAGTCTTCAAGATTGAATGTATGTACACAGAAAGAAAAGTGGCTATACCCTATCTAACCTATTTATCAAAACCTTTATTTCATAGATTAACTTTCAGTCTCAGAGGTCAAATGACTTGCCCTATTACTCCACTTGTTAACAGCAAAGTGAAGTCAACCCACCCGTAGAAGTAACCAATGTTGTTATCTTGGTGTGTTTCTCCTGCTCCTGGATTTCTTTTTTTTTAATTTTGAACTTCTATTTTCTACAGATTTTGACTATTGGGATTATGTTGTTCCTGAACCCAACCTCAATCAGGTGATATTTGAAGAAACAACTTGCCAAAGTTTGGTTAAAATGCTAGAGAACTGCCTGTCCAAATCCAAGCAAACCAAATTAGGTTGCTCAAAAGTCCTTGTTCCTGAGAAACTGACCCAGAGAATTGCTCAGGATGTCCTTCGGCTCTCCTCCACGGAGCCCTGTGGCCTACGAGGTTGTGTCATGCACGTGAACATGGAAGTTGAAAATGTATGTATAAAGCTGGATAAGATTGTGTGTGACTCTAGTGTGGTGCCCACCTTTGAGCTTACACTTGTGTTTAAGCAGGAGAACTGCTCGTGGACCAGTTTCAGGGACTTTTTCTTTAGTCGAGGTCGCTTCTCATCCAGCCTCAGACGAACTCTGATCCTAAGCTCAGGATTTCGACTTGTTAAGAAAAAGCTTTACTCCTTGATTGGAACAACAGTCATTGAAGAGTGCTAAAAGGGAAACATTTAAAAAGGTCTTTTTTTTATGATTGGGTAATAAAACTCCGCAGCTGCTCAGTTATCGTCATTATAGTTTTGCCCTGCCTGTTCTCAAAAAGAAACCCCACATCAAGTTCCTCTTCCTTGTGTGTTTCATGTATACAGCAACCCCAACTAAAGGGCTTATTATGTGGCTTTTGAGAAATGCTCCAAGAGAATGTACATTATCTGCATATATCACATTTTTTATAAAATGAATGGACTGGAATAAGGAAGGAAAAGAAGCAATCCATTTTAGTTTTATATTTGATTCCACAAATTTTCCCAGATAGTCTTGCTAACAGACTCTGAAATCAACTTTACGTGGTTTGATTTTCATATGACTTTTTTTCTGTAAGTTTTCAGAGTGATTCTTTCAATCACAGAATCTTACTGAATGATACTTAGTCCATGAAGCCCACACCACCAATTTGCTGCTACTACTCAAATTTTGAAGAATTCTTATACAGAAGGATAGAATTAAGTGGGTGAGTGTAATGAAAACTTAACCCCATGCAAAAGTGATTAAGAAATGTCACAGGGAGAACAAAACTGTTTCACTGTTTCTTTGCATCCTGTCCACCCTTCTGTTTTGAAGAGGTGCCAGAAACTCAAGCTATCTTTTAGTAAGCACAGTATTGTTTTAAATAACTTTATGGTACAATATAAGCTCAGTTTTTCTAGTTCTCAAGTATTTAATGTTATCTTTAAACTAGAAAAATGGAAAATATTGATCTGGTTTTTTTTGCCTGTAGTTGATTACTCTTCCATTGAGTGAATGGTGAATGCTTCTGGGGATGGGAAACTGAATTCTCAGATCCTGTTTCTTTCTCATTCATTTGATAATCTAGTTTCGTTTCACTCACTGTTACATGTGCTTAATCTCAAATGAACCTTTTCACCAGTCAGTGTTATCTCTCATCCCTGGCCTCAGGAGAGCTCAAACTTATCTCTTCTTTAACCAAATCTTTAAAGGAGATAGCTGCACAACACCAGTTTTCATTTTTAAGATGGACCTATCACAAAGTCTCCTTTGGCTATGGCTATAGTATAGACTAGAGAATGAAAATCAGTCTAGTTAACCTGTGCACACACTCAGCCTTCTTCAGCCTTGGATACCTGTCCTGAGGGAACAATAGGCCTTATTTTTTTTTTTTGTTCCTACTACCTAGATCATTATCCTTTTTTTATGTTAATGGAAGAATGTAACAACAACTACAATGTTCATTTCCACAGGGCCTTCACATCCTTGCTGTAGGTCATGGATAAAGAGCTTATTCAGATCTTCTGCCGGAGCTATTAGCACCAATTTACATACCTGAGGCCAGGGAGGTGGGGACAGATGGCTTCATCCTAGTGTAACTCTAAAGTGGGTAGATCCTGTTACTGATCCTATAAATGACCTAAAACTTCACTATTCAAATCACAAAGCCATCTCTAGGACTGGGCCAGGATAAGTCAACGTTGTTTTTGCATGTCTATTATTAGTCAGGTCTCTAAGGTCAATGATTCTGTGGGTGAGGCGTCTCTGGCATGGATGTACAAATGTCCTTATTCCTCTAACAGTTGTCTTTGACTCACTTGTCTTTTATGCTCGCAAAACAGTGATGCCTTATAGAGACTCTTAAATTAATATTCCTGTTAAAGGAAATTAAAGTTTGTCTATTTTTGACAATAAAACATCATATATTTTTAATTTTCTTGTCCTCTGTATTTTCTGAGTTTATACAAGATCACCCTAAAATATACTTGACAATATTTGAGGGAAGGTGACAAAACAGTTATCCCCTTTTTGACAAAGGCTATTTGTACCCTTATTATAATATCCTAATTATATGTATTGCATGTGCTTATGTATCTACAAGAAGTGACTCGCTTCATAATTTTTCAAATACAATAATACTTTTTATAGGAAGACATTAATAATTTGAGCTTCCTTGGCAATCACGTTTAAAAAACAAAAGCCCATTATGTAAAGACTTTTTCTATTTTTTTCTAACAACCAAATGCATATATATCAAATTGTGAGATCAGTGTACATTTTCATTTTTATCAAAATATACTATTTGAACAACATATCTTTCAAATTTCACTATTCATCAAATTGAATTTTTAACTTTTACCTATCTTTTCTGTCTCCTCAAATTTATGGCCATTAGCCCAGATTTCTCTCACCACATAACCCACATTTAGTAAAACTTGCTAAGTGATAGGCACTGTTCTAGGTGCTTTACACAAATTATCTCATTTATTCCTCACAAGACCCTATGAAATGAGACTACTGTCATCTCCATTTTAAAGATAAATTACCAGACACTGGGAGGCTAAGTAACCTGTCCAAAGTCACCAAGTTATGCAGCAGATCGAGTATAAAACCAAGCCTTCTACAGGGACCGTGCTCACCATGATGCCCCCAAAAGCACAAGGCAACACAGAGACCATATCCACATCACCAAAAGTCTGTGCAAAATCGATGTCAGAAACATTTGCCCCTAAATTTGAAGAAAGATTTTTAATGTGGTTTCTTTTCAGGTAGGACAAATGAGGACACTACAATGCTAACAATATTCCACATTCATTGGAACAGAGCTGTGCTTAGGATAATAAAAAGTCCAAATGTTTAAAAGACGTGCATATCGATCCTGGAAACTTCATGCCTATCTTCTTCACTTGGCCTGTACCTTCATAAAAAGATGTGATCTTTGCCCTAGCTATCCCACTAGGACATAATGATAGCTAGAGTGCGTGATGGCCTCCTGAAAAATACAATATCTTATTTTCCTCTTATGAATAGAAAGATAGTACTTTATAGTAATGGGTTCAATCTCCTGAATCTCCAATGACATCTATGTCCTCATGGAGTCAGCTTCATGTTGTACTAGTGACAGTTTTCTCATTTGCATATTGGAAGGATGTATAAGTATAAAAACCTTAGGTCTAGGACACTCAGTTCTCAATGATCTATATTGGTTTAACAAATGATCATAATAACAAAGTCCAAGGCATGTTGGTGGCCAATGAGGAGGGAGGGGTACAGTGATGAGCTCAGAGCACCATCATGTAGATTTTCAGAACCCTGGCTCATCTAGACTCTGCCACTGATTTTGGACTAATCATACTCCACTGGATCGCGTGTGTCTGCCACAGACAGGAGAAGAGAGACAGAAGGATCTTATGGGGGAACTTAGGGGTCCAGTATAGAAGTGATGGACGTGACTTCTGTCTACATCCCATGTAGAAATCAGTCACATGGCCCCATTCAATTACGAGAGGGGCTCGGAAATGTGACCAAAAAGTGTGCCTAGGAAGAAATGGGCTTGATGAACTGTTTCTGCCACACAGGAAGAGACGAGTTTGTCTATGAAACAGTAGAGAGCCCAGACAGACATATATATATAGAAAGTTGATTTACAGCAGAGGTGGCACTTTAGATAATGGGTAAAGAATGGTGTTTTCAATAATTGGTGCTATCATAATCATTTATCTACATGGAAAACATGAAATTTGGTGCATATACATCAAGCATAAAAATCAATTACAGGTTGATAAAATTCTTAAATGTGAAAGAGAAATGTACAAGAGAATATAATTTTTATGATTTTGATGTAGGGAAAGATTTCTTAAAAAGATGCAAAGAATGACTGAAATTTCTACTTATCACATAACACTATAAAGAGAATAAAAATGCCAGTCATGAACTGAAAGAAATCATATTATACACATATAACTGAAAAAGAGTTAGTAACCAGAATATGTTAAGAATTCCTTCAAAATAGAGAAACAAACAACCCCAAAGAAAAAATATCGGCAAAAGCCTGAATAGGACCTCTACAGAAAAGGAAACTCATGTGGCTGATAAACATGAAAACATGTTCAATCTAACTAGTAATTGGGGAAATGCAAATTAAAAGCACAAGACACAAATGTGTACACATCCATACTACTAAAAAAAAAAAAGTTTAAGATCTGATCATTCAAATGTTGAGGACCTGGAAAAAACTGCAACATGCACATATGTGTATGTGCATTACATTCCATTTTTTGTTATCAAAACCAGTGTCCTTGAAAGTTTCTTGCTTGTTACATATCTAAAAGAATGTTGTAAAAGTATACCCTCTGCCATATTTTTAAATTGTCATTCAAAATTTTCACTCTAATTTTAAAAAGCTGCAAATGATGTAAGTTCTGGTGTGTGGTAAATGCTGATCTTTTTAAATAAAATGATTACATCACCTTGTTAATGTTTCCATTGGAAAGTAAATAGCATAGTAATTTAACACCAACATTTATTTAGAAAACACTAAAATAGGGTCTTCAACAATAAAATTTTCAGTGTTATTTTTTCTTTTTTCCTGTATCTTCTTAAAGTCTAGGTTTATACAGAATTTTACCTTCATTGTATGTATTTTAAGCTTGAAAGTCTTATTAACATTTGTTCTCTATAAAAAGACAGGAATATAAATTAAAATTATATTTTTAAAAAATTTTCTGTGATCATATGGCTTTTTTAATTTTTCGACTGAATTAACTTAAAAATAAAAATACACAATGATCAAAACAACATTAAATGTTTTTGAACTTTTTAAAACTATTCAGCACAAAATATCTCTTAGTAAGATGACTTAATTTGTAGATAAATATTGTTTTTTGCTAGAGTTAGAGGATTAAGCATCATTCCTATTTTATTTTCTATAGATGTAAACTCTGAGAAAATATGTTCTTCATATCAATAAGTAGATGGGAATCAAGGAGATTTGGTTATTATATCAAATTATAATCAATATTTGAGCTACTTTCAAGATATATTCCCAAATCACATAAATATCACCAAAATATTATTTTAAATAATCAATATACTAATAACTCAATTAGGTTTTCTTTCAATATTGTTGAAATCAAAGAGCTAAAAGCAACCTGATTGGCAAAAGAACTTGTTACCTAGGTCTATTTAGTCTGCTTAGGCTGCCTTAACAAGGTATCACAGACTGGATGGCTTAACAGAAATTAATTTCCTCACAGTTCTGGTGGCTGGAAATTTGAGATCAAGGTGTTGGTAGGGTTGGTTTCTTCTGAGACTTCCCTCCTTGGTTGTGGATGGTTTTCTCCCTTGGTCTTCACACTCTATTCCCTCTGTACTGTTTGTGTTCAAATCTCCTTTATAAGGATACCAGTCATATTGGATTAGGGCCCACCCTAATCAGCTCATTTTAACTTAATTATCTTTTCAAAGATCCTATCTCTAAACACAGTCACCTGTTGAGGTACTGAGGGTTAGGATTTCAACATATGAAATTTGGGGGGACACAAACCAATTGAAATAGCCTAGGTGGGAAGGGAGAAGAATCTGAACTAGAGAAAATACAACTTGTGATGATTATAATAATGATGATAGTAATTTGTTCAAGAGTCATTACAAATAAAAATAAACTGGCATTGGTGCCTGGGTATAAGGAAGAGAAAAAGGAGAGTATCAGTAAACTTCTGGTGTTCTGGTTTTTCTGCTGCTTGTTTAATGTAGACAGTAACATCATCACCCAGGATGGGTAATGACAGAACATGTAAAAACTACCATAAGATTAGCAGCCACAGATCTTATATCTTGGCATCATTTCTGTTTTAATAACTGCTTTAAGTGGAGTTCCCTGGAAATAGTCTAAGATGGAGATTTGCAAGCAGCAAGTTAATGCCCTTTCGATCAACACTTGTGGAAAACAGAAGGAAGTAGAACTGAGTAAGCAAAGGAAATAGTTGAATAGTTGATACTGTCACACAGGAAGCCCTCTCAAGAAGATCTCTCAGAGAGCTCTAGAGTTAGAACACCCTTCAGAATTATTTCCAGAGGCAAGAAGGTTTGACCTTTATCCCTTCCCTCATTGACCACTTAGAAACTATTAGAAACTAGCTGCCTGGGATAGGTGTGTGTGACTTTGAACAAGGAAGATCTCTTCAGCTGAAGGCAAGTTCTGGGATGTTGACTCAGCAGCGAGCAGTCAGCCATCATTTCCAACAGTTTGGGTGATGCCGGCCTCAGATGTGAAGAAGGGATCTGAGTAACACATTTGCAGCACCCACCCCAGTCCATCACTTGTGCCATTCAGATCCACTTGTGTCATGTAATAAATTCTGGGTCCAGTTTTGACAGGATTCTGTCTGGTCTCTTTTCCTGGAGAAACTGATAGAGGAAGGTTAGTGGGACAAACTACAGCCCTGCCCCTGCAGGGGATCCCAATGCCACAACTGAGCACCATTCACCTTCTCTACAAACGTTCTAGATTCCCCTCTTCCCCTGTTACCCCCTGGCCATCTGAATTAGTAGTGGAGCGACCCAGACCATAATTGCTGAGGGTTCTCAGCTCCCAGTCACCATGGTTGCTTCACTTGTCCATTTACTCTTGTCTGTTCCGTCTATCGTAGTTCTTACCCTATAGGCCAAAGCACCAATATGTGCTGCCAACTATCAAATATGTCCATTAGAATTATACATTTGGGGACCAAGGAAATGACCACTAATTGCATCCATGAATCCAATAGATACACTCTAAGTTGGATTTGGGCCAGGACTCCAGTTCTGGAAACTGAGTGAAAAACTGTGACTGTTTATTAGACTGTCCGCCTCCAAAAAATGGGGCATGGCTTTGGGTGAGGGCAGTTACTGGAGAGGGGCTCAACTGAAACTTGTCACCACCAACACTACCA